CAATAACAAGACAGCTTAGCTAACTGATCTCTAAGGGGCTCTGTGGTCTCCTCTCCCTCCTCTTCCCACCTTCGGTCTTCTAGCATGGGTCCCTTGGAGGCTGCCAGTCTCAGGGGACACTTGGGGGATGCCAGATCCCACCCCGAATGTGCTGCTTGGAAGATACTCTTACTCTACAGGGAGAGAACAGGTAATCCCTGGCTGTCTTTAAGCCCTAAAGGGAGCCCCTTTGCTAAGCTGAAATGTTTACTGAACACCTCTTTCCTTATTTCCAAACCTTCACCACACTCAACAAGGCCTCTCCCACCCTGCTCACCCTCAGATAATGGCCTGACCATATCCTTTACCAAGAAGACCGAGGCAATGAGAAATGAACCCCTTTAATTTGCTGCCCCTACGCCACCCCTTTTATGCATGCCTCAACTCATTCCCATTTCCTTTCCTCTAAGCTGATCCCTACTGCTGGGTTCTTGATGTCTGTTCCTCAGGTCTGCTCCAGAATCTGGGCTCTGCTTCAACCCTGGTCCCCCTTGCTCCTGCATTTTCCATCGTCCCCTTTCTAACGTCTTCCCCCCTAAATGTATAAACTCTCTGAAGCCTCTCCTTTGTTTAGAAAAGAACAACCCTCCCTCATCCCTCAGACACCCTCCAGTTACCACCGTATCTTTAATTTTTCTTTCCATGCAAGCTCCATACAGTGTGGGCTGTACTTGCCCTCTCTACTTCCTTGTCATTCGCTCCTTCTTTAGCCTATAGCCATCAGACTTCTGACCTCAGTTCTCCACCGATATTTTACTGGAAAAACTGAGCCCTCACTTCAGGGGGTAAGACCTTACTTTTTCGAGAGGTCTTGAATCACAACGCACGCCTGGCTCCACAATACCATCAGTCACCAGAGGGCAGCCATACCAGGCCCCACTCCCAGCTTCCCCAGCTCCAGGAGCCCTGTTCCCCTGAGGAGGCCCCTACCTCCTCCAGGCCCACACCCTGCCTGGCTGCAATGATGAACATGGCCCCAGCTCAATACTCTGGACTATAGCTTCGTGTTTCCACCTTGTTCTAGGCCACTTCCAGGACTAACGTCATCATGACCTCTGCCCATTCCCCTTGGCCACCATCCTCAGTCCAAGCCTCCCAGATCATCTGTCGTCACATACCGCTCATCGCCATACTGCTCAGTACATATTTTACTCTGACTCCATCTCCTACCTCTCTCTGACTTCCCAGAGTTTCTGCTTGCTGTGCTTTCTGGACTCAAGATCTGTCATGAGAAAAAATCAAGTTTGAGAATCACTAATGTAAGTTACAGAACTAAGTCAACGGCCTATCGGAGAGCTGGCTACAGGGCAGACTATGATCAATGACCACGTATGTGCTGACTGAGTGACTTTGTGATGCCCCTTGTGGAGGAACAGTTCCTGGCCCCCAGCCAGGCTTGGTCGGCAGCAGCTGCAGTAAAGTGGCTCCAGCTGCAGGGCCTCAAGGGCCTTATATCAGGGAGCCCCGCTGGTCATTACAAAGCAGGGTGAAAACAGATTCCAAAGAGAAGGAGGCAAACCGAGGTCTCCCCACTCCTTGGGGCCTCAGGCTGGGAGAATTCCTCTTTCGCTCCTACTGCATGCACATTAGAGGAAGGTAGGTTCTCATCCTTGAGTCTTGAGGCCAATGAGAAGTTTGTTTCTGTGCTGCAATTGCGTGTCAAGAAAGTGGAAAGAAGGTAAATCAGGAATGTTGGTAGGGTAACGAGCATGGGGCTATGAATGCCAGCAACATAGGAGAGAGCTGCTAGGGAGCAATTTACAAGTTCTGTGATAGTGGGACTGCAGGTGAGACACCAGAGGTTTGTTCTGAGTGTAGAACAATGTAGAACAGAATTGGATCAAGCAGTTACTAATAAGAGCTGGCATTTACTCAGGAAGTTTTGTGTCATCACCAATGTATTTCCGTATGTAAAGCACTGAGAAGTGTGCCTGCGAGTGCCTACTGCTGCTACTACAGCTACTCTACAAACCGACCAATAAACAAAAAAACTACAGCGCCTTAGAAGAGGATGGCATTTGGCTGCTCATCATATCCTCCATTCCTGTCACCTTCCAACCCTCCAGTGACTTCTCATTCATTCAAGATTTTGACACCTGGACCACTATCTTCTTTTCCACCCCACTTCCGTCCTCTTACTTGGGCACTTCAACATAATGGTGTAACCTAGGTTTCCACTGTGTCTTCTTATCACCGGACATGAGCACTCTTGCTAATGTTACCTTCTCCCAGAGTTCATTTACTATTGATCGGCAGATCACTTCCATATTTATTTCCAGTCCAGACATCTTTTGTGAGCTCCAAACCCATATATCCAACTGGATAGCTCTACACAGATATTTCATGGAAGCTCAAACTCAACTAGTTCAGAGTCTGAACTCATCATCTTTCTCATAAATCTGATTCTTCTGTTCTCCAAATCTTGTTATACAGAATCAATGTCTAACCAGTCACCCAATCCAGAATTTGGGGTGTCATCCCAGATTCCTCTGTACCTCTTAGAAGCTGTATCCCATCAGTTACCACATCCCTAAGCTGCATCTGTTGTCCATGAGTCTGGAGCTTCTCTGGTTCCAGAGAGTAAAAGTAGTAGTTACGAGGGCAAGTCCTGGAGTAAACGTGCCTGGATTCAAATAATAGCTTCCAATTTATACTGTGTAATGGTTGGCAGGTTACTTAAGCTTTCTGTTTCTTGGTTTTCTCACCCGTAAAATGGCTATACAACAATATTGCTTACTTCATAAAATTGTTATGATATGTAAAATACTTGGAACATAGTAAGTACTCAAAACCTTTTAGAGATGTTGATGATATCAACGATGATGATGTCTGAGTGATGCCAGCAAGGGTAACCTCCTGGCTGCAATAACTGAGGAAATAGATTTAGAGAATATCAACTGCTTTTTTTTTTGATGAAGGAGACTTTTCCCCCCACAGGCTTTTTTTTTGTGTGTGAGGAAGATCAGCCCTGAGCTAACATCCATGCTAATCCTCCTCTTTTTGTCGAGGAAGACCAGCCCTGAGCTAACATCTATTGCCAATCCTCCTCCTTTTTTTCCCTTTTCCTCCCCAAAGCCCCAGTAGATAGTTGTATGTCATAGTTGTACATCCTTCTAGTTGCTGTATGTGGGATGCCGCCTCAGCATGGCTGGACAAGCAGTGCGTCGGTGCACACCTGGGATCCAAACGCGGGCCACCAGTAGCGGAGCAGGCGCACTTAACTGCTAAGCCATGGGGCCGGCCCCTCAACTGCTTTTTAACCAGACTTGCAACCAATCCTTCTTTATTCAGCCCCACTCCACATCTCTGCCTTTCAAGGTACTCAGTGCCTCCAATTCCTAAGACTTTATAGGTTCTGGGAGGAAATTAGTTTGCATCTTAGAGGCTTTCCCTCTGTAGGCACTTCACTTTTTATGCTTTACACCTGCACTGTCCACTGACAACTAGTCACATGTGGCTATTAAGCCATCGAAATGTGACTGACTAGTGCTACACATGTTGAAATGATAATATTTTGGGTATATTGGGTTAAATAAAATATATTATTAATTTCACCTGTTTATTTTAGATTTTTAAATGTGGCTACTAGAAAATTTTAATTACATATGTGACTGGCATTATCTTTCTATTGGATAATGTTGCATCTTACAAAATTTTGACACTTCTTGTCTGCTGTCATGTTTTCTCCCATCCTCTTTAGTCTGGTAGTTGATACACTTTATCTCTTTATTTTTATTTTTGTGAGGTATCTGGGGAAAGCAAAAATAAAGGGGTGTGTTCCATCTGCCTTGTTTAACTGGACATCATATCCAAGCTTGTCACAATCTAGCCCCTGCTTATATTTGTAGTCTTATCACTTTATGTCTTGTCACCAACCCTATGGTCCACGTAAAACAAATTACTAATAGTTTTTGGAACACACCAGGAAGCTTCAAGCTTTCATGCCTTTTCTTTCTCTGCATCCTTTTCCTGGAATACCCTTCTAACTCTTCCCACCCAGCCTAGTAACTTACTCATTCTTCAAAAACTCAAATTTCATCTACTCTCAGGAGCTTTTCCTGACTCTTCCTCCTTCCAGTTCAGCCCATTACTCCAGAGTCCAGAGTATTTTCCTGCATTTTCTTGTTTAGATACCTATCTGCCCCACAAGGGAACCCACCTTATTCATCAGACCCTGTAGTGCCATTTCAGGGTTTGATACATAGTAAGAACTAAAAGAATGTTTATTAAATAAGCGAATCAAGGCAGTCATGAAGAATTGTGGGGATACAGAAGGAGAGGCTGATTGAAAAAGTTTCATGATGGTAATATTTTTTCAGCTGTTCTTCAGAGAAGTTTCTAACAGGTGAAGACAGCATCAGGAATTTTCCAGGCAGAGGGAACGAGACAAGCAAAGGTTCCCTGAAAGCAACGTATATGCTGGGGAAATAGCAAACGATCCAATTTAAATGCAGCATTGGTATGACCAGATCATGTAGGGCCTTAAGGTCATAGAAAGGAGTCTGACCACTGTTCTGAGGATAAAGAAGAGTTTTTGAAAGGTGTTAATTAAGCTGGGGAAAGAGATAATTAGACCTGCGTTTCAGCATTATTACCTTTGGCTGCAGACGGAGAATGGATGCGAGGGGCGTGGGTGGAAGCTGGAAGACTGAATTCATTGTAGTCAGGAGGGAATGGATGGTGCGGCCTGGGGCGGGGGTGAGCGGGATGGAGGGAAGGGCACGACCATCTGCTCTGTAGGCGGGAGAATGCACAGGCGTTGGTGGGCGTGAGGGAGAGGGAGGGGTGTCCAGTTTGCACACATGGGAGGGCGGCGCGGGTACCACTTACAGTGCCGGGTGACGGCGCGGGAGGAGCCTGTCAGCCCCCCGCCGCGGAGCTGGGGGCGCGGCGCCCGGCACTTGTCCCTCGCGCGTCGCCGTCGGTGCAGCGCGCAGTGCGGTCGGAGGAGGCCGCCGGCGCTGCGTTTCCGGTTCCGGTACCGGTGGGCGTCCGCACTTGGGGGGAGCCTGAGCGGCCATGGCGTACTCGACGGTGCAGAGGGTGGTCGTGGCCTCGGGGCTGGTCCTGGCTGTGTCGCTGCTGCTGCCCAAGGCCTTCCTGTCCCGCGGAAAGCGGCAGGAGCCGCCGCCGGCGCCCGAAGGTAAGCGCAGGCCCGCTCCCCCTCAGCGGCGCGGCGCCGGGCGATGCTCCAGGGAGGGCGACTCCGGGAGTCTCCGTCCCCTCCCCGACATCCCCGAAACGCAGATCGGCCGGCGTGTGGGAGGTGCCAAGCCCCAAGTTCCCTTGGCATCCACGGGCAGCGGCCCAACTCCACCGGGCGCCGGATCCGGACCTGCCGCAGGAAGGGCCATTAATGCACGCATACATGCCTGAGCATCCTCTAGGTGACATCTCATACAATCATTGCTCGCAGCCCCTACCTCCTTCCCCTCCCAAGCTTAACTCACCCTGTCACCATCTGTTCAGGTGCTTTGAGTCAGGAGGGCTCCCACCTGGATTCCCGTTGTAGGGTTCCCGTCCGTGTGCTTTCTGTCGTGCTGCGTATGAAATAAAGTCAGTTGGAATTGGTGGTGTTAACCTTAATTCGTCGTGTACTTTCAGTTTGGGGTTGGGCGGCCACTGTTTCAGGCTCTTTTTGTGCCTTTTAAAATGTAACTTGAAGATTGTAATAATCCAAATTTCAATTGCCGAGATGAATTAATCACTTTACATCCCTTACTTAAACAGTTCTTTCTTTCCTTCTGTGAGAAAGATCAGCCCTGAGCTAACATCCAAGCCAGTCCTCCTCTTTTTTTTGCTGAGGAAGATCCGCCCTGCGGTAACAGCCGTGCCCATCTTCCTCCACTTGACATGAGTTGCCGCCACAGCACGGCCAGACAAGCAGTGTGTCGGTGCGCACCTGAGATCTGAGCCTGCGAACTACTGGCCACCGAAGCTGAGCGTGTACACCTAACCACTTGCGCCACTGGTCTAGCCCCCTTAAACAGTTATTTATGTCTTAATCATTTGTTATTGACATGATATATGTGGTGTTTAAAAATCCATCCTGTTGGTTGCGTTCTGGCTTTTACATAATGAGTGAGTGTAAAGGCGTAGATGCCAAAGGCTGGCAGAAGGAACTGGAACAATTCTCTATAAATCGTGAAGTTCTACTGGTAACTTTCTCCTTTAAATTATCTCTGTAACATCCTCAAGACATGTTTTCACCGTCTCCGAATACTTCCACTGATGTTCAACCTGTTGATTAAGCTCCTTTTGAACTGAATCCGCCTCCCTCTAGTTTGTGCACACAGCCTCTTGCACATCACAGATTATAAATACTACAGAGGCAAAGCACCAGGCTCTAGGAGTGGAGGGCACATTGACTCTAGAATTCTGTTTATAGAATTTGCTTGATAATCTTTATGCTTGTACAACTACTTACCTGGAAGAGACTTCTAAAAAATCTTTACGTTTGTTCTTATTTTATTCTTTCTGTCTTATTACAAAATCCCAGAGGTTTTACTCACTTTGTCTAATGATATTGCCTGCGTTGAAGAAGAGTAAATTCTTGATCATCTTAAGCAGTAAAGATCCTTCTAAAGCAGTATTTTACTGACTTGAATTCCCATTATGCTGAATTATCTTGAATAAGCTCTGCTGAATGAGTGGGAGACACTCTTCTGAAGGTTGTAGAGTATAGAGAGGAGATTAGACATGGCTCTCTCCCGTGAGAACTCAAGTGCTGGTATTCAATGTTCTCATTTTAGAATTTTGCATTGTCTGTTCTCTTTATTCCTGAAGTGGTCTTCCCTCAGCATCCTTCTCATTCAAGTTTCAGCTCAAATGTAACCTCCTCAGAGAAACTTCCCCTGATGACCCTAGCTAAAATAACTCTTTCCACTTCCACCATTCTCTATTCCATCATGTTGTTTTATTTTCTCTATTGCAGACATTACTATATGATATGAAATTTTCTTATTTGTTTACTCATTTATTTTTTGTCTCCGCCTTCTAGAATGCAAGCTCCATGAGGGCGTGGACTTTGTCTTGTTTACCACTATTTCTTCAGCACCTGGCATGTAATGGGCAGTCAGTGATACTTTTAAAGGAATAATTTAAGATTATGAAGCTACTGATATTGTGAATTCTCTTTTTGCATTAGTTACCAAAATAGTGTAATCTAGGCAAAAACTTATCTTGAAAGATATATTGCAGTAACTGAAATTTGCTAACTAAAATCCCTGCCCTGGTACACTGACATTTTAAAAACAGTGACTCCTAACCATTTTTAGGTTACATATAACTTTGAGAATCTGATGAAAGTTATGGATTTTCTCCCTAGAAAAATGCACATACTATTTATACATACATTCAGAATTTGAGTAGCAATTCAGAGAATTCACAGAACCCAGAAAACCCCTGCGTCGAAGAAAGGGACAGCCCCGAGTATTTGAAAATTCTTAAAATTTATGTCATTGGGGCTTCCATTTCTGCCCATTGTGGGTATGTGAAACAAACACAGTCCCTTTGCCACATGACAGCCATTAAGGTAGTCTTTTAGCAAATATTTATGATGTACCCTTTAATATAGTATACGCACAGTGTACAGATACTCTGATTCCAAGAAAAAATTAGCCAGATCTCTGCCTTAAAGAGTGCACAGTTTAGTAGAGGAAAACAGACATCAGATAAGTGCAAAAAAGCCTCAGTTGCAGGTACTCAAGTCCTTGCATGGAACAGTGGAGACACACAGTCAAATGGTCAGTTTTATTGGGGGCCCAAGAAAGGTGTCATAGAGGAGGAGAGTCTGTGTGTGTGTGTGTGTGTGTGTGTGTGTAACAGCTTTCTTGAGATATAATTCACATACTATACAGTTCAGTATACATTTAATATACTATACTATATATATTATATACTATAGTATGTGTATAATATACTATACACATACTATACAATATACATTTAAATATATTTAAAGTATACAATTCAATGATTTTTAGTATATTTACAGAGTTGTGCAACCGTCACGGCAGTCAGTTTTAGAATATTTCATCACCACCCCCAAAATCCCCACACACTAACCATCACTCTCCAACCCCCACCCTTCAGCCCTAGGCAACCACTAATCTACTTTCTCTCTGTATAGATTTGCCTGTCTGGACATTTCACATAAATGGACTCATACAATATGTGATTTTTTTGACTGGCTTCTTTACTTAGCATAATATTTTCAAGGTTTTTCCATGTTGTAGCATGTATCAGTACTTATTAACTTTTTATGGCTGAATAATATTCCGCTGTAAGGATATACTGCATTTTATTTGTATATTCATCCGCTGATGGATTTTGGGTTGTTTATATTTTTTGATTTTTATGAATGACGCTTTTAACATTTGTGTACAAATTTTTGTGTGGATATATATTTTTTCATTTCTCTAGGGTATATACATTTGGGAAATGTGAGCATTTTAGTGTAGCTGGAAATAAGAATGGAATTTCTGGGTCAGTTGATTGCTCTGTGTTTAACCGTTTTAGGAACTGGTAGACTGTTTTCCAAAGCAGCTGCACCATTTTACATTCCTACTAGCAACGTATGAGGGTTTTAGTTTTTCTACATCTTGCCAAAACTTGTTGCTTTCTGTCTTTTTGGTTATAGCCATCCCAGTGGGTATGAAGTGGGATCTTATTGTGGTTTCATTTTCATTTCTCGACAAGTAATGACTTTGAACATCTTTTCATGTGTTTGTTGGCTATTTGTGTATCTTCTTTGGAGAAATGTCTATTCAGATCCTCTGCCCATTTTTAAATTGGGTTACTAGTCTTTTTATTGTTGAGTTGTAAGAGTTCTTTATTTTAGATACAAGTCCATTATTAGATATATGATTTGCAAATGTTTTCTCTCATTCAGTGGGTTGTCTTCACTATCTTGATGGTGTCTTTTTAAGAAGAATAGTTTTTAATATCGATGAAGTCCAATTTATCTAATTTTTCTTTTGTTGCTTCTGCTTTTGCTGTCATATCTAAAAATCATTGCCAAATCCAAGGTCATGAAGATTTACTCCTGTGTTCTCAAGGTTTATAGTATTTCCTCTTACATTGAAGTTTTTGATCCATTTTGAGTTAATTTTTGTATATGGTGTGAGGTAGAAGTCCAACTTCATGTGAATATACTGGTTTCCCAGCACCATTTGTTGAAAAGATGGTTCTTTTTTTGTGCGTGTGTGTGTGAGGAAGATTGGCCTTGAGCTAATATCTGTTGCCAATCTTCCTCTTTTTGCTGAGGAAGATTGGCTCTGATCTAACATCCGTGCCCATCTTCCTCTATTTTGTATATGGGACACTGCCACAGCATGGCTTGATGAGTGGTGTGTCAGTCTGCACCTGGGATTCGAACCTGCGAACCCCAGGCCGCTGAAGCAGAATGCTCGAACTTAACCACTATGCCACCAGGCTGGCCCCAAAAGACTTCTTTTTACATTGAATTGTTTTGACACCCTTGCTGAAATTCAGTTGCCTATAAGTCTGAGAGTTTATTTCTGGACTCTCAATTCTGTTCCATCCATATAGATATAAATAGACACAGAAAGAGGTGTCAGATATACCTATGCTTATGCCAGTTCCATACTGTCTTGATTACTGTAGCTTTGTCATAAGTTTTGAGATTGTGAAGTGTGAGTCCTCCAACTTTGTTCTTTTTCCAGATTGATTTCTGAGTCCTACGACCCAGCATTTCCATATAAATTTTAGGATCAGCTTGTCAAAATCTACACAAAAAGCCAGCTGAGATTTTGATAGATGATGTTGAATCTGTAGATCAATTTCAGGAGTATTGCCGTCTTAACAATGTTAAGTCTATCAATCTATGAAGACAGTATTTCTTTTTATTTATTTGTCTTTAATTTCTTTCAAAGAAGTTTGTAGTTTTCAATGTACAAATTTTATTTTGTTAAATGTATTCCTAAGTATTTTATTCTTTTTTTTGTGTGAGGAAGATTAGCCCTGAGCTAACATGCATTGCCAATCCTCTTCTTTTTGCTGAGAAAGATTGGCCCTGGGCTAACATCTGTGCCCACCTTCCTCTACTTTATATGGGACGCTGCCACAGCATGGCTTGACAAGCAGTGCGTTGGTACGCACCCGGCATCTGAACCTGCAAGC